TATTTCTAGTTAGATTTTATGTTTTATAATCTATTTTGTCTGATCATAGGATAGCCACTCCAGCTTGCTGTTTGCACAATATGGTTGCTGTTTGCATGATATACCTTTCTCTCTCAACATTTATAAATTTCAATCTAAAATGGTCTCCTATAGACAGCATATACTTGGATATTGTTTTTAGTCAATCTGACAACCTCTACCCTTGATTGTTTAATTCATTCACATTTAATGGTGGTTTTGATATAGTTGGATTTACATCTGACATTTTACTTTTTTGCCTATATCTACTGTCTTTTGTTGGGTTTTTTTTATTCTTTTAGCGTATTATGGGGGTACAAGTGTTAAGGTTACATATATTGCCCATGCCCCCCTCCCCCCTCGAGTAAGAGCTTCAAGCATGTCCATCCCCCAAACGTTGCACATCTTACTCGTTGTGGTTGTATAAACCCCTCCCCCATCCCCTCCTTCCCCCTCCCACCCTCCCGACACCCGATAAATGTTACTCTTATATGTCCACTTAGGTGTTGATCCGTTAATACCAATTTGCTGGTGAGTACATGTGGTGCTGGTTTTTCCATTCTTGAGATACTTCACTTAGTAGAACGGGTTACAGCTGTATCCAGGAATGTACAAGAGGTGCTATATCACTGTTGTTTCTTAAAGCTGAGTAGTACTCCATGGTACGCATATACGACATTTTATTAATCCACTCATGAATTGATGGGCATTTGGGTTGTTTCCACAGCTTTGCAATTGTGAATTGTGCTGCTATAAACATTCGAGTGCATGTGTCTTTTTCATAAAGTGACTTTCGATCTTTTGGGCAGATGCCCAGTAGTGGAATTGCAATATGGAGATACCTCAAAGTGATACAAGTAGATCTACCATTCGATCCAGCAATTCTACTGTCTTTTGTATTCCTCTATTCCTCTTCTTCTACTTGTTTCTTCATTAAGGGAATAATTTCTATGTAACATTTTATTTCCTTTAATGACTTTTTCACTATATTTTTTAGTTATTTTCTTAGTCATTATTTTAAGGCATATACATCTTACTTATCAGAATCTATAATTTATGCTAACTTAATTTAGTGAGCTCTAGAAAGATTACTCCTCTATAGCTCTATTCTCTTCTCCCCTGTTGTGCCATTATTGTTATACATGTTGCATCTATATATTTTATAAATCCCATGGCATACTAATATTACTTTATATAATTGTATGTCTTTTAAAGAACATAAGAGAAGAGCAAGTATATATTTATAGCTTTTGTTATCTTAACCTTCACTTTTACTATTTTTTTATTTGTTCTAAATAAGACCTTCCTCAACTATATCCAAACAATGTCAGTCAAAAAATGAAGACATATGAAGCATAAAATTATTTTTCCTATATCTGTGAAAAATGATGATGGTATTTTAATAGGGATTGAATTGACCCTGTAGATCACTTTGGGTAGTATAGACATTTTAACAATGTTGATTCTGCTGACCAATAAGCATGGTATGGTTTTTCCACCTGTTTATGTCCTCTGCTATTTCCTTCTTCAATGTTTCATAGTTCTCCCTGTAGAGGTCTTTAACCTCCTTAGTTATGTATATTCCTAAGTACTTTGTTTTCTTAACAATAAATGTTGGCATGGATGCAGAGAGAGAGGAACACTCCTACACTGCTGGTGGGACTGCAAACTAGTGCACCCTCTGTGGAAAGCAATACGGAGATACCTTAAAGCGATACAAGCAGATCTACCATTTGATCCAGCAATCCCATTACTGGGCATCTACTCAAAAGAATAAAAGACATTCTAGAAAAAACACATCTGCACTGGAATGTTTATAGCAGCATAATTCACAATTGCAAAGCTATGGAAACAACCTAAGTGCCCATCAATATATGAGTGGATTAATAAAATGTGGTATATGTATACCATGGAGTACTATTCAGCTATAAGAAACAATGGTGATATAGCACCTCTTGTATATTTCTGGATACAGCTGGAACCCATTCTACTAAGTGAAGTATACCAAGAATGGAAAAACCAGCACCACATGTACTCACCAGCAAATTGGCATTAACTGATCAACACCTAAGTGGACATATAGGAGTAACATTTATTGGGTGTCGGGCAGGTGGGAGGGGGGAGGAGGGAATGGTTATATACATACATAATGAGTGCGATGTGCACGTCTGGGGGATGGTCAGAGCTTGAAGCTCTGACTCTGCGGGGGTGGGGGGGAGGCAACACACATAACCTAAACATTTGTACTCCCATAATATGTGGAAATAAAAAAAAATGAAGACAAGGCTGTATTCACAGTTTTTAGATTATGCCTGGGACAACTAAGGGGTACCATGCATATTGCAGTGAATTTGAATGTTTATTTCGACGGTTATTTGGGCAGATGACCAAAAATGTCTGGTTCCAATGATTTCAGTATGTTATAACAGTTTTCTGGTAACTGGAAAAAGAGAGAGGCCCTTTTCTAAATCATACGAAAAAGTGGAAGTGGAATGTGATCCCTGTTGGTAGCCCCATAAGGGTCTGGGACTAAGAGGCTATGTGATGCTCTGGCCTCAGCCCAGTCAAAATAGAACCAGCAAATAAGAGTAAGTTGGATTCCAGTGCCTACCTCTAAACAAGCCGAGGTATTTTCTTTTTTCTTTTTTTTTTTTTTGAGACAGCATCTCACTCTGTTGTCCAGGCTAGAGTGCCATGGCATCAGCCTAGCTCACAGCAACCTCAAACTCCTGGGTTCAAGCAATCCTTCTGCCTCAGCCTACCGAGTAGCTGGGACTACAGGCATGTGCCACCATGCCCGGCTAATTTTTTTCTATATATTTTTAGTTGGCCAGCTAATTTCTTTCTATTTTTAGTAGAGATGGGGTCTTGCTCTTGCTCAGGCTGGTTTCAAACTCCTGACCTTGAGCGATCCTCCTGCCTTGGCCTCCCAGAGTGCTAGGGTTACAGGTGTGAGCCACTGCACCCAGCCTAAGCCGAGGTATTTTTAACAATCAGTTGGCTTTGGCCATCTAGTTTTCCCAGAAAAATTGCTATATGACCTCCTCCATGGACAAACCAGACAGAGGTCAGGGAGAAGAACTTTCCCTGATTCTAGCTCTTCTTCTAGCTCTCCTAAAATCAATGCTGATCTTCTCATAAAATTTTCATAATTTTCATAAAACTAAAATTCCATAAAATTTTAAATGATCTCCTTGCCCTGAATGTGTGAGAACAAGAATTTCATCAGCTTTCCATAAGAAATGCTGCAAATTAATAGTGAATAATTTGAAATGATAAAACATAACATGGGGATTTTTTTTAAAAAGCTGTCATAGATCTATCAGCCTTCTAAAAACTCAAATGCAGGTAGAGAAAGATATGGTACAAACAAACTCATGTGGGAGCCACCCCCAAGAAACAAGAAGCGTTCAGAGTCCCTGGGATCTGCTTGGGCCACAAGAGAGGACCCATTCTCTGAGCTTCTGTCTCCCTGAATGTCAGGCAAGCAGCGAGTGAGGAGGTGGTTCTTGTTTCTGCTAGTAGAAATAAGGAAAGGAAAAGAAATCTTCAAGCCTGCAATTGGTTACATTTACTTTATGCAGATAGCAGTTGAGTGGAGGAAATGAAACCCATGCTGCTCTCCATAGCACTTTTCAAAGAGAGTACTTGGAAAAATTTTTACAGACTTGCAGAATCTTCCCTAGTAGTCTTTGAAGTAGGAATATAGAGGATCCTATTATCCTCACTTCTCAGTAAGGCATACCTTTATTGTGTCTCAGTACATGCTTTTCATATATATCTGTATATTGATAAAAGCCAGACTGCTTACAGATAAAACAGACATAAACAAAATATCTATTCCCATGGGATAAAACATGGTAATAACAGGGTTTGCAGGTTTTATTTTTTTTAAGAAATGTAGCTGTTTAACTTCAGACCAGTATATGTTAATTCTCATTATGGTTTTCCCTGCTCATATTAAAACATATAATTTATAACATTGTATATTGTTATTTAATTGTCTCAAATAATGTAGTAACCTTATCCAAGCTGCTTTCCAACTTTAAAAAATTTTTATTATCATTTGAGTATAATGAAAGCCTATGCTCCAAAGCCTTTGACATTTAGCATTTCATTATCTCTGGGCCTATGTCAACAGTATAATCAGAAACAAAATAAGAAATTATAATGTTCATTCCTGACCCATCATGGAATAAAAAGTATCTTTTTATGGATCTTAAAAATCATTTTCTGAGCTAGGTGCGGTGGCTTACACCTGTAATCCCAGCACTTTGGGAGGCCAAGGCAGGAGGACTGCTTGAGACCAGGGCAATAGTGAGACTCTGTCTCTACAAAAGATAAAATTAGCCAGGTGTGGCAGCATATGCCTATAGTCCTAGCTACTCAGGAGGCTAAAGCAGGAGGATCACTTGAGCCTAGGAGTTCAAGGCTTCAGTGAGCTATGATGATGCCACTGTACTACAAAAAAAATATAATAATTTTTCCTCTTAAGGGAAAACATGCTACAAAGAGAAAAGTTAAGTCACATTAGCTTAACATCAAGAATAACAACAAGGCCGGGCACGGTGGCTCACGTTTGTAATCTTCGCACTCTGGGAGGCTGAGGCAGGAAGTACGTTTGAGCTCAGGAGTTCGAGACCAGCCTGAGCAAGAGCAAGACCCCATCTCTACTAAAAAAAAAAAAATACAAAGAAATTAGCTCGACAACTAAAGAATATATATATATATATATATATATATAGCCGGGCATGGTGGCACATGCCTGTAGCCCCAGCTACTTGGGAGGCTGAGGCAGGAGGATGGCTTGAGCCCAGGAGTTTGAGGTTGCTGTGAGCTAGGCTGATGCCACGGCACTCTAGCCCAGGCAACACAGCGAGACGCTGTCTCAAAAAAAAAAAAAAAAGAATAACAACAAAGCACACAAGTAAATTTAATTTTCCTACAGGTAAATTAATCCTGCCTTATCCATTTGTCCCCAGGTTATCGATCTGTACTGGGGAATTGAAGAAGATGACTGGGACAACCCAGAGCTCCAGAAGACCCGCATGAAGCTGCTGGAGGATTGCTTGAAAACTTCTGCAGGTCCATGTTTTGTTGTGGGTATAAAAAAACTAATGCTTTATATTAAATTGTACATGAATGTGAGAATTCTTACTAATTTGTGGTTCTTAAGGGGCTTTTAAAATGGGGGGAAAGAGACTTCCTATATATATTTAAAAATTTTAAGCTGTCTCCGTGCCCTCGATATGTGAGAACAAAAACATCCTCAGCTTTCCATAAGAAGTGCTGCAAATTAGCAGTGAATAATTTGAAATGGTAATGGAAGAGATGACTTGGGTTTGACGATAATCTCTACAATATCTTCTGATTTAATACGCATTCCTGTTTCAGTCCTATAGTAATTATCCTAGTTTTTCTTATCCTATCGTGTAATGTATTCCATCATAGTATTTCTATTTCTCAACATGAGAATTTCTTACATTTTTTAAGACAGTGGCTGAAACATTGTTAAAGTAAACCAAATATGCTATGTCAAATCTGCCTGTAGAAAATGGTGCCCTGTGAAAAAGTTTATTTCTTCAGTGATTTTTAGCTAGAGGCTCATTATATGCTACAAATCAACAGATATTTTTCAAGTGAAACATTATTATTAGTTTGTCATTCTTTTCTAAAAAATACCCACTCCTCTGTGTAAGCACAGTGGTAGGAAGATAAGTAGGTCATTCTGTGGCAGGCAATTGTGCAAAATCACTGCCTTCATTTAGTTTAAATTAAATAGACTTAGCTTCAATCCAAAGAGAACCTACCAATTGGTAGGGAAGTTGCCACTTTGAACACAAGATGCTCTCAGGCTGACAGATGACTGTTAAAATCACTGGTAAGTGCTATGAAGAAAATATCATATCATACCATTAAAAGCTAGGCTCAATATATTGATAAAAAGGTTTTTAATATTTATTTGCATATCTATCTATATTATACTCCACATAGGATTATGCAGACCTATAGAGATGATACCAGAAATCTGACCAGGTGATAGTAAAGTTCTGACCAAAGATAATATTAAGTGTATAAGGGCTCTATAATATTTTTAGTATTCCATATATGGATAAATTATGTTATTCACCAACTACTGATTGTGCTACTCTGTGCCACAAACGGTTCTTAGTGATGGGGGTATGATAGGTTGACTCATATGAACTTGTCATTTCGTGGACCAGTTTCTTACACTTCAACCTTAGAATTGAACCAAGAAGATAAAATTCTTTGTCCTCGTGGAGCTTGCATTATTCTGTAGGTGGAAGAAGGAGGGGGCAAGCAAAACACCAAAGAACCAAGTAAAATAAAAATAAGTTAGTTGGTGATAAGTGCTACGGAGAAAAATACAGAAAGGAAGAGGAGAGGGAATATCAACAAGGGAGAGACTGGTTTTTAAATGGAGAAGCTAGAGAAGGTCCCACTGATAGGATGGCTTTGGAGGAGAGATGAGAAGATGGCTGGGAAAGAACCAGGTGAATATTCCAGGTCAGAACATTCCAGAAAGAGGGGTTGGGCATGTTCAGAGAACAGCAAGCAGGCCAACGTGCCCAGAGTAAGTAGGAGGATAGGGGAGTGCAGACCATATCATGGGGCACTTGTAATCTTACTGTTTTTAGGAGAAAGAAGAATATTGTTGTGGCTCACCATAATTGGGAACCATCAATTTTAAAAAGATAATTTCATTTAAGATAATTTTATAATCTTCAAGTTGACTGTAAAGATAGATTTCACTTTTACTCTGAGTGACAGGAGAAGCCACAGAGTGTTTCAAGCAAACTTATATTTTAGGGACTACCTTGTCTGGTGGGTGCAGGACGGGAGACAGAGCGAGCAGATCCTTAAGAGCTGCTGTGACGAGCCGGATGAGAAAAATACGTGATGTGGCGGGTTTGGGGGATAAACATCTAAAAACAGCGTCCTGCAGTCTGAAAATAATGCAAAAAAAAAGGCTTGAGAGCCACATTAAATATCTGAAGAGTGAACAGTAGGAAAAGAATTAAGACTTTTCCCTGGGTCCTCAGAAGGGAGAACTAGGAGGCAGATTACAGCTCTGGGTGTAGGAGGTGGAGGAAGTGGCTTTCTTCCGGTTTGGCCCCTGGGTTCTGACTCTGAAGTTTCATAGCTGTGTGGCACTGAACGGTCTCCTTCACTATTCGAAGCCTTAGTTTCATTATTTGTAAAATGGAGGTGATAATATTTATCTACCTTATGGGTCTTTCTTCTGAGAATTAAATGAAATGATGGGGTACTTCTATAGTGTCATGAATATAGTAACCCACAGTAAGTGTTAGTTGTTTTTTATTGTTTCTGTTGGCATCATTATTATCTATCAAAACCATCTAAGTTGAAATCACCAGGTTCAAATCATAATGAGTACGTCACCAACAAAATTGCAATCAAAGAACACAAACCATTCTGGCAAGGGTGCCATAGAAGAGATTGCAATCCTGGAAGACAGGTTAGGCCAGATCCCACCTCGCTGGGAAAGACAGATTTGGAAGCCACGGCACTTTGGGAACACCCTGGGAGTCTCAGCTGCGTGATCTCCATAGATGTGTCCTGCTCCAGCCTCAGAAACTCGGGAATGAGAGAGACATTCTCCCCTAAAATAAGCCCTGTAGCATGTCTTAACTAAACTAACTGAAATTAGTCATGACTGTCAATTCCAATAATTTGCTGGTAGGAGAATAATTGCAAGACTTTGCACAGGTTCTGAGAGTAAAGGTTAACTAATAAAACAGCAGCAACATATTTATTGAGTGTAAACAAATTATTTATCCCTCCTTCTGTTCTCCTGTTACATGTTTAAATCATGATAAAACCCTGCAGATAAAGCTAGGAATATTCACCCCAGTGATCCTAAATCACACAAGGCTTGTAGTACATCTCTTATGGCCTTTCCTGTTGTAACTATGGTAATGATGGGTGGGTGGGTGAGGAAGTGTGGGGCTGGGGTATCACTTTTGAGTTCCATTTCCCTTGCACAGTGCTCCCTTGTGATAATGCTAAAACTTATGGTGACCCTGTGGGATGCAAAGCCTCGCATGTTACTTCCCCTAATACTGAAGTCTTTGGCAAGAAAATTTACCATTGCTGAATTTAAAAAAAAAAAAAAAGTGTTTATATCTTTAAAACCTTCATAGATATTAGCCCCTATCTTAGATACAAATAAATTCGGGACCAGACAAAGCTTTCATTTTTAAATACCAAGGAAAGTGAGGCTCCAAGGGAACTTGGACTTAAATAGTATATGTGCTCAGCTCTTTACATCTCCATTCCCTAAAAGTTGTCATTTGGATATGGCTTGAGGTCCTACTGACGTGCAGGCTGTGCTGCTAATCCTGGACGGCTGTTTTGCACACGTGTTTGGTCACAAAGAGAAGAGGGTCTGGAGAGAGGGAACCTGGGCATATGTCTGGTCCTGCTCTCCGAGGACCAGCTCAGGAGACACAGCGTAAAGAAGCCGCGACCCCCGCCCGGAGGCGCAGCGCCTGTGCGCATGTGCAGAGGGAGGCGCACGCGGTGGGGAAGCCTGAGTTTTCCTTTGACGGCCACATGAGAGCTGTGGTTCAGACAGAAGCAAGTCACAATTTCGTTGTGCTTTGATTGTCACACCTCTAGAGATGGGGAGATGATGACAATCAACTAAAAGTAAATCTTGAATCAGCTTCAATAGGTTTGTTGGGACCAAATGTGATGATGTACGTATGAGTTCTTTGTAAACTGTAAGGGCTACACAACCAGTTGTTATTATTAAACTGTGATTTAAGTTATTTCCAAATGAGAATTGAAAGTTTTCATTTATATTGGGCATTTATGTGCTTTTGGAATTTTTTTCCCTTTAAAAATATAAAAAGTATTAAGACGTGATTCAGATAGTCAAATATTAAAGGGCTTTAATTCATTCTGATGTCTACATGAATAAGCTTTGTAAAATGTATACAGTATATATTACTTTGCTGTATATGAATTTGCTGAAATTTACTGAGTAAAACGTTTACCTATTACCAAGGAGGGATTTTGACCAGAGCTGCAGTTAACAGGGACATAGCTCACAGTCAAGTCCAAAGTCACCATCTTTCTCACCTTTTAAGAGTAGAGAACTGCTTCAGTCTTTGGAAAGGATGGAAAGTTCAGAAAAAAGTTCCCCATCCACCTATTCTGCCCCTAGTCCATAAAAAATCTTTTTGGAGAGAGCAGAGTCCATGTAATCCTAATTATCTCATCCTCATCCTTCTTCGTAGTACATGTTTATGGGGAGAGAAAGTTTTCTTCTTGTCATCCCTCAAAATTTGGAGTACCCCAAAGAATTACTTGTAGAGTTTGAGCATTGACTCTGGACTCTGAGTAAGGGCTTGCCTATTGGTAGAAGTTGATAAAAGCAGGGACTTACTATGCTCTGCTGTCTTGAAGAACTAGAGTTTGCAAAGCTTAGCTGTAGCATTGGGGATCTGCCCCTAAGTGTGTAGCAGCCTTGGGGATATAGACATCTCACTAGAGCCCAGAGTCCTTATCGTGGATGACATGGAAATGTATGGAGAAGCATTGGCAGGCCAGCCTAGGAGAGCCGCGCCAGGCACCGTGCACTCAGTGAGGAGACTGCCACTGACTGCTGATGGGGGCAGGCGAGAGGAGATTCCATGACTTCATGTTTAGAGGGGTGTTCCCGTGCCTTAGGGTCAGGACAAAGGAAATGCTGCCTGTGAATGTGTTGTCAGCTCCCTGAGCTCTCCAGGAGCCAACGTCCGTACAGCGTGCTCATAGAGACTGCCAGATCACACGCATACGAGCAGACATGATCTGCCAGCATTGGCTAAAGCAACAGCAGAGACCAAAAGAATGGGAGCACCATTATTCTTACCTGCGTGTAAGCAGACGGCAAAGGAGACTTCTGCCTCTGCCCCTACCCCCGGACAATCACACACACGCTGCCATGGCTGACAGGGTGCAAAGGGCGGGCCACGCCCGTGCCCACCACAGACAGCTCTCGCCAGCAGCCCTTAAGACCAACATGCACAAAGTGGGAAGAAAGAAGCCTAGAGCACTACACTTTGAC